ACTATGGCACAGCACAGCCCAGGGGCTGGGGTGAGTGGGGACAAGCGGCGCCCCGGTGGGTTCAGGGCATGGTGCAGCCCAGCGGCTGCAGGCATCTGGCATCGGCCGCTCCCAGGGCAGCTGCAGCAGGGGCTGGGCTGAGTGGGGCCCCAGCCCCAAAGCCCCTTCCCCTCCCCCTACAGAGTTACCTGCTTGAGAGGGGTGGTGCCTATGCTGATCGCATAAGAGAGAATTTGCCTCGCATATAATAAATTTTGGATATAAAAAGGGTCATTGCATAAGAGCGAATTCGCATATGCAGTACCCGTATAAATCGAGGGAAACCTATACATTGTTCCTGAGAGCATTCTTGCTGGAGAGGATGTGGAGCTCATTGTGTGTGTGTATGTCAAGATACTGTGAGGTGCCCAGAAATCTCTTCCTCTGGGAAATTTAGGAAAGTATTCATGTCCCCAGAGTATTTTTTTCTGAGCTGCAGGGATATGTCCTCCTCACAGGCAGATTTAGCAGCATCCAGAGAAGCGGCCCTGGGAAGTCACCCCCAGCCTTCAGCTCCAATTGGCAGCCCATTTTTGATAGGAACCTCTTGGGAACTCGTCAGGAACTCCTCTATCACCTCACACAAGAAGAGGGTCCTCCTTAGAATAAAGCCTCTATGCAAACAAGACAACACCAAGGCAAATTGTTTGCAAAGTAGAGGAAATTAGTTTTTAACCTTCCATTTGTTAATATTTTTTTTTCTGGTGACTGATTACTTTTCCCTGCACGTCACCTTCCAGCTGGGAGTGCTGTAACAAAGGGAGTGAGAGCTGTCATGGAAAAGTTAAATTAGGTTCGATTATCAAAAGCACTTTGCACCATTCCCATTGAATCCAATGGTTAAACCCCCATTCAAAGGTGTATGTAATGTAACTAATGTGGGGTGACTGGGGCAGGGAGGCATTGGAAATAACAGGCACTACTGCTGCTGGTTGGCTCTGCCAGCATTGTCAGCAGCTGGGAGTTGCCACTACCCTGTGCACTACTGCTTTCCAGGATGCCAAGCTGCCCTGTTATTTCTCTGAGTTTATAAAATTGCAAGAGGCATCCTGGGCCCCTGGGTCCAGTCTCCTGTGCTTGCAAGAAAGTAGTTATTCCAAAAGTACCAAAAGCACTTCTTTTTCCAATCTGTCTCACTCACCATAGCCACAAAGCACCTTTTTCAGGAAAAACACTTGCAACTTGCTGAAGAGTAGGTGAGATAAGAGCACTATCAATGCCTTCCTGTCCCATTGAGCAGAATTAGGCCCATGCTAAGCATTAGTAGAAATCCCACCCCACATTTCTTTCCACTGAAAGTTTTCAATGCACAACTGGGGTTTGTGTGAGGAGACTGCTTGTCCTCTTTGCCTAGTGAAGGACATCACCGGCACAAAGCAGGTCATCCATTAGAGGCCTCATTCCTTCAGCAGCAGTGGCAGTGTGGCCTGAAAATAAAATGCCAGGCCTCCAGAAAAGCAGAGACTGGCTTGAGACAGAGTATTTTGATTCCAAGGCCTCCAAAATCCAGCCAGGATTGGATAGAGTTCCTGGTTTTGCACATCTCAGCTTGTTCACTTTGGAGGATTCCATTTCCAGTGGGCAGAGTAAGAGATCCAAGTATGGGGATTGTTTTCCCTATGGGGTGGGTTTGCAGGCTGCCAATCAGTTAAAAGTGAAGTGCAAGGGATAAAATTCTGAAGAGACTTATCAGTCCGCAGCATTCTTCTCCCTGATGCCAGACAAATAGGATCTGGCTGGCACTCTACTTCTTCATTGAGCTTGGCCAGTCTGACTGGTTAACATACTTTGGTGAATATATCACAGAAGACTTGGGCCTCTGCACTGGGGTGATGCTGTCTCTCCAGCGAGTACTGCTCCTGAGATTGGTCTTTGCCATTCAAGTACTTGTGAACCAGACATTAGAGCCCTGTCCGCATAGACAGGATTTGAACTGTATTCAGCAACTTGTGGATGAGGCTTCTAAAGCACTTTGGCCCATTCAGGCATGTAGATGAAGTGGCTGAAATTTCAAAAGTACTCTGCAATCACCACCCACCATCAAGAACAAAAATATCTTGGGAATGCTGTGTTTCATTGAAATTCTGGCCACTCAAGTCTCTATGTTGGAGTTATTGGGTGTTGAGGACTTCTGAGAATATGGTCTTTGGGATGTAGAAATAAGGTTGGACCTGTGATATTCTTTGCCTATGATATTCATTTTGCAAACTCTTCTGCAGTGCTGGTGCCCTGCTCAGGTGGGAGAATTCTTTCCCATTGCAATGCTGCCTATCACCACCTCACTGTCCTTCAAGAAAGAGTTGTGTATTAATTTCTGGAGAAGTTGTGTGAATAGGCTAATCCTTATGCTTCTATTGCACCCTCCCCACAGGAACCTCAGTGTGCAGAGCATACAGTGAACACAAACTCTTTTGCTGGGGTCAAAGGGAGGCATTATTAGCCACAGTTCACAGAAGGAGAACATGAATCATGAAGCAGTGGAATGATTCACCCAGGGTCACATAGGCTAGGGACAGACGTTCAGAAAGCCTGAGCCTGAATTGATTCAATCTTTGCAGGTTAGTCTAACTTGCCTAGGTTGAACCGGTTTATAACCATACAGACAACCACACAGACCTCTGAACTGAAGAAATGTAGGCATGTGCTTGCAGTGGCTCAGGCTAGAAGCCAGGTGGGTGGAGGGGGCAGCACTAGAGCAGCCCTCCCTTCCTTTCTACAGTGCTGAGCTGAGGGGGGGCATGGCCAGGCCCCGGCAGGATGCTCTGATTAGAGAGGGGTGTAAACCCTCACCCTGTCTGCACTGTCCCAGGCTTTTCCCACTCACTGCTCAAGGGCAGAAGTGTTGCCAGACCCCATCCCCCTGATTAGCACCCTGAGGCAAAGGTGGGGTATGCAATGCATGCATCTGTTGATGATAATGAGCTTTTCAATCTCCTTCTCCCTGCTTCCTCATACTGTCTGCAAACCTGACAGGCGAGGGAGCCAGCAGGGGGCTGATAACAGAGCATTTATCAGCCTATCAACAAAACAAAAGCCTCTTTCATTAGTTCAAGCTTTTCTCAAACAGCTTTTTCCAAGTAAGGAAGGGTGGGACATTACTAGCCGACCTGTTGATTAGCTCCAAAGAGCCCTAAGCCAACACTGTTCCATCTGCCAGTCCCAGGAAAATTGGAAACACCCACACACAGACACCTCTCAGCATTAGCTAGCATACCACATGCCTAGGGTCTATGGGGCTGGGGGTCTGCACTGTGGAAGATGGGAGGGATCTCTGCTTGAGCTGTGAGCAGTGGGGAGGTGGGGAGGGGCAAGGGGAAGCCAGGCAGACCCTGCTGTGCCTGCAGTCTTTGACGGAGCTCTGGCTAGGGAGCAGAGGGCAGCGTCAGCCCTCTTCTCTGGAGCAGACAGCACAGCCAGGGCTGCAAAGCATCTGGGATGCTGGGGGACTCTGGTTTACCTTAAATGAGGAAGGGGTCTGGGACAGACATTGCATAAACAGGTTTGACTCAAATCAGTTATGTCTGATACGACATTCAACCAGGTTTATCTTAAACTAGTTTCGGCCATTTTGAAACTGGTTTGTGTGCACTGAACTTGCATTCTGTTACAGGTTTAAACCAGTTTCTGATCACTTAAGCTGGTTTGTGTGTAATATCTGTCCCTAGTCATAATGAAACAATGGCTTGGCCAAAGACAGAATTCCTATCACCTGACACACAGTGCCTGGCTCTAACCATGCGCTTCTTCTATATCCCAGTTTTTAGAGCAGTGTTTTGAGTGTGATTTAAACATGTCATTTTTATCAATACATCAGAACCGGGGTTTGTAGTGATTATTGGTTTCTGTGAATCAAATGATACATTCTGGAGTTCAGTTCCTCTCAATGTGGAGGTGTTTACCTGTAGCTTATTCTGATCAGTCACACTTTGGTTTGGAAGTTTCCATTTTCCAAAACCAAAGAAAGATTGTCATGACTGTTTCTAGCCTATGGACTGCAAGGTACAATATGCCACAGCTCATGAGAACCTTAGCTAACACAGAACCAATTACAATTCAGCTAACTAGTAGCATTAAACAACCAGCTTGTTGGACTCGATGTTATATCCATACCGTGTCCCCAATATGTGCTGATCAGGACATTCCCAGCATGCCCTACCATCTACTCTTGCTGTCATGCTCCAAACCAAGAAATGCACTGGTGGACCCAGTGCTGCACACTCCCCCTCCCTCCCTCCACTGCTCTCCCCCAGCAATTAACTCTTAAGATGTTGGTCTCTAGCGTACCTGAAAACAGTTACTGAAGACATTCTCAGAGTGATCTTACTGTCACATTTCCAGCTTTGGAAACATACAAACAGGAGTGGGTAGGCAGGGTATTCTGGGGGTGAGTCTATTTCAAGACACAGGATAGACATGCCCACTCTGCCCTTGCATGTTGAGGTTTTTGCTCCTATGATGGCATTTCATCCAGCCCCAAGGCCCCATTTGGGCCAGTATGTGCTGCACAGCCTGTTGTTGCTTCTTGCACCATTCCTTTAGGTGCTTTAGAATCTGAGTTTTTGTTTAAAAATAAGCCACTAAGGACCAAAGCCACTTTCACTTATTAGGTGTTTATGTGTGATTCCATTCCACCCTGCTGTAGTCCCTAAAAAACAGTTTATGCAGCAGGTGGTGAGGTCCCTCTTCCCAATCAGTGTTCCCTGTGACTTAGCCTGAAGATTAACATGATATCAGGTTAAAAAGTAGGCACATTAATGTTCCTTTGGTGGAAGAGGATCACACATAGATGCCCAATAGGTGGAATAAAATCAGGTCTCTCATGCTATGGTGACTGAGAGAGTTTTCAAATACCTCTGGCCCATCATTGGCTCATGGATCCTTGTCTAACAGTTACTCAGATGATGTAACCATCCAAATCCATGCCCCTAACCAGATCCTGTGATATATTTTCCTTTTCTCAGGCAAAGAATTTGAAGGTGAGGAAGAGTACCTGGAGATACTCGGGATCACGCGGGAGCAGTCGGGCAAGTACGAATGCAAAGCTGCCAATGAGGTCTCTTCCGCAGATGTCAAGCAAGTCCGGGTCATTGTGAACTGTGAGTACATTGCCACCATGCTGGGGGCAAGGGGAGGTGGCAGTGAACAGATGATGGCAGCAGGAGGAAGAGAAGTTGTCATATCTGATTGAAAATAATGCTGACATCCCAAGCCCTGAGCCCTGATTCTGTTCAAAGGAGATAAGAGGGACACTTCTGCCCTTGGATAGACCTGCACGGGTTACACTGAAATCAAAGGGAGACCCACCCAAGGCAACAAGACTTCCTTTGACTTAGTGACCAATGTAGAAAGAGTGTCTGTGAGGGTTCCTATCTTTTCTTACTAGAGAAGAGGCTTTAGTGACTAATGTTCAGGAGAACCATACTGTGAAAAGAAGCTTTCACAAAAAGCCAGGGGTAGAGAAATTATCAAGAGCCAGATTTAGGAGTGAGGTGTGAAGTGTAAACTTGACTCCATTAAACTTACTTAAACTTTTCTTTAAACTAATTCAGCATCCTTGCATAAGCTGAAACCCATTCTACTAAAGGGCCTATTCAGGTCTCACTTATATATTTGGTTGCTGGGGGCATGAGGATAAATGGTGTCCATGAATAATGGGATAGGATGGGTGTGCTTCACCTTACCCTTTCTCACATAAAGTACCCCAACACAGACCCTACACACACAAAGAAAATAGTTAAGTGTCTGTCTGCAGCACAGTTATTCTACTGGCTGTCATCGTTTAGGGGCATGATTAACTTAACGTGTGGTTCGTGCCCATGTGCCCAATGGTTCATAAGCAGTTACTGACTGGGAACACACTACCCTTGCTCATGGGATAGTTTGGCCTGTGACTCAGATCCATCCATGGTGATATTATAAAGTGATATGGCATAGTACTTAACATGTAATTCTAGATGTTCTTCCTTCTCTTAGTCTGTGTGGTTAGTTGTCTCTTGTGCTCTGTTGCGTGTCTTGGATGACACTTATTGGATGTGTCTACACTGTAATTTACAGTGTGGCGCACAGATGTCTGAGCTGGCTTTAAACGAGCTAATGCAGGTACCTAAAGCAGGCTAGCTGCAGCAACACAGATCTCAGCATGCGATAATTTACCCTGTTTCTTGTTTAGAACTAGCACAGGAATTTGCACACTGCATCATGTCATGTAGACATATCCTTTATGTCTGCACCCTAGTGACTCTGTAAGGGCTTCTCTAGATGTTCAGGTAAAGGCATGCTAGGATCCAATGTACAATCTACACAGTCATGGCTCCTGCCATGCCACACATGCATGACAGGTGTGATTGTGGGATCCAACATCAGATCCTATCATGCCTTATTGCCAGTGTAGGGGGAGCTTGGAATAGCCATCCAAGGCTCCCACTGCATTGGCAAGTAGCAAGCTTCTGCAGCTGAAAGTCCCACAGCTGGCAGAATATACAGCCATGGTAGTGCCCCAAGTGCAAATTAAAGCTGGATAAAAAACAGCTATGAAGTTATTACACATTTTCCAGCTCTAACTTTAAAGCTGGATGGATCTTTTCATGGCCTGATAAAAATTTTTTTGCACATGTTGCTACTGTAAATTAATTGCACAATTAACCAGTTAAAGTAATATGTAGAGGCCCCCCTACCAACCACCACCCCCCCCAAAAAAGCACAACCCCAGCAGATTTACCTGGCTATCTCTCCTGGCTTTCAAATGTGGGAGCCACATTTAAATGCATCGTACATTGTAACTTCTCATCTCCACAGCTTGCATTGTTTTTAGAATTGTTTAATAAAGAATACCATTTGGGGGAAATATCTATAAACAATCCGTTGCCATGTGGAGGCACATGCCTAAGCAAATCATTTTATTATCCTAAATGAATAAATGTATGCATCAAAAGGAATTAATTTAGCACAAATGAAAGCAATTGGAACTAGTAGAAACTTTCCAGAATAATATATTTTCGTGTCAGAAATGGATATGTCAATTCAGAATTTGTTTCAATACAATCAGCACAGTCTCATGATGTGATATGATATATGTGATATGATATGATGTAAAATTGTGTCATAATGTATCATATACTGTTGACTATTATACTATGTCAATTCATAATAGGATATAATAGGATATACCATGGCACAGCATAGTATTATATTTTGTTATTATTATGTGATGCAATTTAGAAGAGGAAAAAAGTCAAAATTTCAGGTATTACCCCAAACAGGAATTCCAACTTCTGACCAGATCTAATAATAATTAAAAGAAAAGTCCATCGGTGGCTACACAGAATCCATCACGTTCATTTGGCCTTCCCTCCCAACTTCAACATAGAACTTCCCCTGTCTTCCTCACTTGCATAGTGTGAGCGGCCATGTAAGTCCCAAGGCTGGTGGGGGGCTGGGGAAATGATTTTTAAAAATTGCCTCAGGAAGCTGCTTTGTCTGTACATTGCCAATCACAGATATAATGGAGCATACAACATTCAGCCACAATTGCAGGAATATACTTCGACTCAAAGTCACTAGGCTTCTCTTGGCATGAACATCTCCCCTGTCATAGACCAAGTCCCCATGGTTCTAGGTACTGCACAAACAGAATGAAAATACAGCCTCCCTTGCCATCCCTTCATGTTACAGGAGTACACCAAATGGTTAATCGCCATTTGTCAGCCTCAGAATTAAAGCTTGGCTTCCCCAGCCAAGATGATCAAGAGTCCCTACACATTATAGCTGATGCAGAAATACCACTGACATCCCTACTGGATGGTGAGAGCGGTCCCTTCCCATACAAGCTGAAATTCTTCAAGACACTAGCAATGGGAACATTTCCAAGTCAGCTCACACTTACATCTCAAAAGTGTCCTTTATGACTCACCACAGTTATATGAAGATTGAGCAATAGCACAGGACAGGACTGTGGCCCAATGGGGCAGAATGACAGTGGGGAAAAGACTGAGAGAGCCCCAAGCCTGTAGGATATTATCCTTGCCTGCCAGGAGAGGAAGGATGGTTCAGAGGTACAGGTGCATGCCTAGAACCTGGAAGAGCCGTGTTCCATACCTTGCCCTGGCACTGACCTTCTGTGTGATCCTTTCGGGATGCCCAGGGGGAAACATCCTCCTCACAGGTCCCACTAGAGTACTTGCCACCTGTAGTTCCTCTAAACTCTATGTTACATTGCTGCAGTAGACTTGGAATGAATGAATCATCTGCCTCCAAGTATCCATAGCTCTATGCACATGTGTAGGACATTTCATGCATTATCTTCTCTTATTGCCATACGCCTGTCATCCCCCAATCCCCTCCCTTTGTTTTAAAGGTGAAAACTTTTTTTTCCTATTTAATGACCACAGTAGAGCATTTTTGTCCATGTAGGCAGAGAAAAATGTCTACCATCACTGGCTAAGAGGTCATAGCTGGACAGGGATTGAAGATTTTTCCTGAGGCCAAAGCTCCTGAACTCCATTGTATTATTGTAAAAACAAGCAGATTTTTTTTTCCTTGCTCAAGAGAGCTGCCAGTTTCAGAAGAAGGACTCTTGTGAGAACCTGCTCTGCCACAACAGATGGTCAGACTCCTCTCCCAGGTGCATGGATGGATCCAGGATTTTGGAGAGGGGGAGGCAGGAACAGTGACCTACATTGCAGAGGTGGCTACACCTCAGCTCCCAGTCTCTTCTTACTACTCTGGGGTGAGCAGACTGCACTGCAGGAGTAGCATCAGGGATTTCTTCTTAAGTCTCTCAAGCAGATAACTTTCCCTCCTCCCTCCCTTCCTCTCCATACTCAGCAATACATTCCCTCCCCTCCCATCTACTCCTTTCCCCCTCTCCCTTCCCCTCCCACTGCTGTCACTGTCCCCCAGGTGACCCAAGAGGGGTTGAGGGGGGGGGTGACCCAACATGGGGTGGGGGCTCCAGAGCTGCTCCTGCTTTACTTTACCTGGGCTGCAGATGAAGCCAGACTTGGCTTGAGACAGCAGCTGCAGTGGTGGCAGCAGCAGCAGTGGACAGGTTTCCTTCCCCCATGCCTGCTGCGGAGCTGCCAGGGGGGACCAGGCAAGGAAAGGGAACCTCTTCTGTCTTGGCCTAAGCCCAGCTCCATCCAGAGCTCAGCTAAAGGAGTCAGGAGCAACTCTGGAGCTCTGCTTCTTCCCCTGCCCCTGCTCCTTGGGGCAGCCAGAAGTAGTGGCAACAGCAGTGGGGAATGGAAGTGGGAAGAGAAGGAAGGTGCCAAAGAGGAAGGATTCAGGGAATTCTTACCCAATTTGAGAAGGACTTAAAAAAAAAGTCTCTGGCTGCTGCTTTTTCTGTGTCATTGACTGAAAGGGTGGTAGGTCTGCACCACTGTATCTACCCTGGATCTTCTCCAGCCCAGATGTACAAGTCAGATCAAGTATCTCCCAAGAAGACTTTCTAGAGAAATTGCCAGTTCACCTTGGTTTCATGTTAGGTTGGAAATACCTTGGTAAGAGTCTTCCTGATGAAAGCTTGACTCTTTAGGATCCCTACACACACCACAACTGCAGGATTCAAGGGGGAGTCCACTCCAGACAGAGCACTCCAAGCACGTTTCAACCTGAAAAAAATGTGCTGGTTTCTTTCAAGTCTTGGTTAGTGTCTCAGGTCAGCTGTTATTTGCTTTATGGATGGACCTAAATCTAAATCCCTGAACCCAAATCCCTGAATTTTGGATCCCAAATCCCAATTTTGAACCAAAATCTGGCCCAGCTAACCCCAGCTTTATAATGAGGCCAAACCAAATCCCTGCTGGCAGTCAATGTCCAACAGGAAAGCATTTTTACCATGCTGACCTAGCACAGATTTCACCGGCATGCCCATTCTTATCCATTGCCATGTGATATAAAGCATCTCCCTAGTCCAGAATAACTCTGCACTAACCCTGCATTTATTACTCAGATATAGCAGTGCTGGACAGCTGAGAAGATAGGAAAAGCTGCCATTGATATCAGTGTGAGTTGCATGGGCAGCATGCAGAATATTCAAGGTTGGAGAGAAGTCTGCAGTCTAGGTGGGAAGTGGAAGTATTGTCTGGCATGATTAGATATCTTGGTAATTTATTTTATGAAAATATCACATGCAGTAATAATGTCTTACACCAAATAAATTGTTCTGCCAGTGTCAACTCACTGATCTGTTTCTTGGCCTTAACTAGTCCCTTCCAGAGCATTTTATAACTCCCAATGGACTGTGCTTCACATAATGAGGCCCTCTGTAAAGTATGTCACTTCAATTTACAGATAGGAAAACTGAGGCATAGAGCAATAAAGAGTTGGGAGCACAATCCAGGATGCAACCCTCTTCCCTGCTTCCTCTGCCAATACATTTAAATAAATCCAGGACCAGTTACTTTTTTGAGGATAAGTTTAAATATAACATTGGCCTCTTGAGGACTCACCCAAAGTACTGCAGCTTTTCATGGCATGATGGAGTAGATGACCTCCTGAGGTTCCTTCCAGCCCTAATTTTCCATGATTCTATGATGTCTCAGGGACATCCCTTCCCCCATTTGGCAGGAACCAACTAATCTTTATTCAGCACTCAGCATTGATTGGTTGGCCATTTCTTAGCTAGAAAAATTGGATGCTTGTCTTGCTGGGATCCTATGACCCCAGCTGACTTCCTGCCCTTCGGGCTGGGGGATGGACTTGATGATCTTCCGAGGTCCCTTCCAGCCCTAATGTCTATGAAATATGAAAAGCGGCCAATCTGGAATAGCATTGCAGGCTCAGGCCATGCGACGCACCCAGAAAGTTCCTCTTAAAGAGCTGTCCGGCATGGCTAATATGAAGAATTCTGGGAATGAGGGACCGAGTCCTTTTTGGTTGGTAATCAGAGCACAGAATGCTTAGAGCCTGCGCAAACCTTGCAGGGAAGTTTTCAGGTCTTCAGGAAAGTATTGGTTTGATTCATGACTCATCTCATGCTCTGGCTTCAATGGAGTAGAAATGGTTTGTCCTACTGCAGACAGCAGAAAGATATACTGCTAGAGCAGGAAAGTCCAGGCTGCATATTTGAAAATATCTCCCTACAGGATCCTTTTTTTTCCTCCCTTGTTAAAATATTTAAGTGAACCACACAGCCCTTCCTAGAAAGATAGTATTTGCAAACACATATTAATATTTATTATGTTCCAGTGAACATTAAAGTATCCTTAAAGTCCTACATACCACTAGGATGACAGTCAGGAAAGAAACTGTATAAATTCTGATTGCTTTAAAAAACAGATGTCTTCCAGGCAGATTTCTTTCTCTGACACAATCCCATTTTCATTCCTGCTAGCTCTGAGATATCAAAGAAGCTACCTGACAAGTGTCTGAAGTCTTTTTTGGCATAGGCATCAGCAAGATGGTCAGCTGAGTTCCAGCAGCAGGAACTTCAGCATTTATGATTCAATATGAAGCTACAGAAGCTCAGCTGGATTCCCAGTTCCCACAAGAACCTGGTAGAACTGCTCATTGGGAAAAGCACATTTTACCTTGTAAAGTTTGTTTAACAATTCAAACAGTGGTAAACCAGGGGAAATGGAGCTGTCCAGAGAGTACCTGGGGTTTGGTTCAACTAAAATATTCACTCTCAGGACTCTCCATCTAATAACTAGCTGGCACCAAGATCTTTCCCCAGTAAAGCACTGCAGCTTCTGGTCAGCTTCTGGCTGGCTAGTCATTCCAAAGAGTCAAGATCACAATTCACAGGCTTCAAATGAAGCAGGTGTTGCTTAGGAATCTGAAGTCACGAGGAAAGGTGAAAAGCAAAGAAATTCCAGAATTCACGGACTAATTTTTACTAGGCCTGACCTTTCAGACTTGAATTTCCTGAAGGAGGAACACCTCAATAGAACTACCCAAAGAACCTTGACTGCCAGATAGCTCAAAAGTGTTCTTATTTTCAAAGGGATTGATTTCTTATTGAATTCCTTCTGTCTGAAACCATAAAGTTACTTCTCTGCTGTGCAAATACCATAAGCTGATTCCTTGCTTCTCCCATTTTGAGGTCAGAAGTGGTGGTGATATCTACAATGATTTCATGTTTAGTGAATGAATGCTCCTCCCTCCTCTGCTTTTTTTTGTCCTTAATGAAGTCTTTGTCCCCTCTTTGGCTCTTTAACAACTCCATGCAACAATATATATGCAAACAAAGCATTAAGGACACCCTGTGAAATGCTCTAACAAATCAGACAAGGTTCTTTGGATAAATGTGATATCTTTTATTAGACCAACTAAATAGTTGGAAAAAAATTCTTTACAGACTTTCAGGCACAAAACTCTTCTTCAGGCCAAGGTGGCTATAACCAACACCTCCTAAGAAATCAATGAATTCTATATTTAACTTTAACATTGCCTTCTTGCCTTTATGCATTCTGATATAGATTTGCACTGTGCCATGGACACAGCACTAATACATGGACAACTCTGCCCCAGGAAGAACTCAGGAAGTGATTATACTTAAGAAGTCCAAAGCTGTCACCTTCCCTACAGCCAGTATCTGTGGTCCCACACCAGTGCAAGTCACTTGTCACCTGAGCCACAAGTTGCTTGAGCCAGACATCCCCCAGATAGGTTCACTGCTTTTTCACACCTGAGACAGAATATGAAATAACCCATGTTTTCTTTCCTGCAGACCCCCCGACCATCACAGAATCCAAGAGCAATGAAGCTGCTACAGGACGGCAAGTCTCACTCAAGTGTGAGGCATCAGCAGTGCCTACGCCTGACTTTGAGTGGTACCGAGAAGATACTAGGTAATGGCATTGTCCACCTTTTTCTTCCCCCTTTGACTGCTCAAGAGAGTGCCACTATTCTCATTCTCCTCCCCAGACACAAGCATCACAGACACAAAAACTCACATCTTATCTCATTGAGTCAGACTAGCTAAGCAAAGAAGGCCTGATCAGGATTTGAATGCCACACCAGTTGCCTGGTATGGGATAAAAGGAGCAAAGGTTCCTTCTCTCTCCTATGAGGTCCTGACCACGTCTATGTATTCCACAACCCAGGACACTTGCACAGGAGGAAATGGTATTGGTCCTGGATCTGTGACCAAATACCAACCCGAGTAATTACAGTCTAGCTACCTAAACGCAAGGGAAGGTACTCTTTAAGTTCCTCCATGCCAGTATGATTGGAACCACTGCAGCCATCTGTCTGCATATGAAAAGGAAATGGTAACAGTCAAAGGGCCTGTATACATGCTATGTTTACCTTAGTGTAATTCACAGTGATAACGTATGCATTGCACCAAGACCCAGAGGGGAAGAATGAGTAGGCATCTGGGAATAGCTGCTCAGACTAGGGCTAAGTACAGACAGCCAAAAAGCCCAATGCTGAATTGATTCAATCTTTATAGGTTAATCTAAGCTGCATAGATTGAACTGGTAAGTAAGTGAACCGGCATTTGCTTTTGACTCCAGAAATACAGCCGCATGCCTGCGGTGGGCCAGGCTAGAGCTCTCCTCCCTGCTTGGGCCAAGGTTGGCCCACCCACCCCGCAAGGAATGGTTTGTGGGAGAGGTGCAAACCATTCTGGGATACTGGGGGACTGTGAGTTAGCTTGAATCTGGAGGAGATCTGGAACAAAAGTTGAATAAAACAATTTAACCTAAATCAGTTAAGTCTGATACTAAACCCATCCAGGTTCATCTTAAACCAGTTCCAGCCATTTTGAAAGCAGTTTATGTGCACTTAGCTTCTGTTATGTTACAGATTTGAACAGGTTTCTGATCATTTATTCCAGTTTATGTGAATTTCTGCCCCTAGCCAAGGTGGCTATGACAGTACCTCACCATTAGGTGGCAGAGAACAGGGAATAGCCTACTTGCATACAGGGAATATCCACCTATACCCTGGATTTCTGTGAACACCCAAGACTTAAATCAGAGTAATCTACTGCAATACACATTTTACCTCTGATTCTCCCCAGGGTGATTTTACACTGGATTCTTGGAACTTACATTTGTTTAGGACTCACACCTTATTTACATTGGTAGAAGGGATGATTATACTATTGTAAATGCATAGTGGGTGCATCTATGCATTCATTAATGTGTCTTAGTGACTGCACATTTAGGTTAGTACTTAATGAAGTACTAACTATATGTGCAGTAAGTAGAGTTATTGCACAGTAGCGCCAGCTCATGGGGGTTTTTTGTGATCCTTACTGCGCATTAGCTGCACATTAGCTTAATAACACTGCGCAGTAGGCTATTAGCATGGCTTGGTTTTTAACCGCCACACTACTGTGCAGGGTTATTAAGCTAATGTGCAGTGAGCATTTCATGTAGATCTGCCTCGTGTGTCCAAACCCTAAAGGAGTGATATCCAAATCTTTCCTTTACCAGGAAGGCACCCTTTTCACCTGAATGCTTCTTTTGACTAGCTTAAAAATAGGGGTTGCTATCCTGGATTTTAACTCCACCAGTATCACGAGCTAAAGCAACACTTGTATTTTAAAATATGCTTGTGAAAGCATAATAGATGACATTTTATACAAAACACTTTTATCCCACTCAAAGCAGAATCTTGGTTACCTTTTGCCTTTGGCAGTAACTTCCACCTTATTCCCAGGCAGTGTATACTGTATGCAGTGTTTGTATCCAAGGTTTGGCCAGTGCTAATTATAAAATCCCCCTTTTTCACTCACCCATTCTTTCCTCTTTTCCTTCTCTCTTAGTATCATTTTACCTTTGCCACAGTTTAATTTTCCTTTCCTTTCTTTCTGTCACCTTTTCCTCATCTACTGCTTTCATTTTTTTTTATTCTTTCACTCTTCATTCATCTTCTTTCATTTCCTTCACTCCCCTATGCTTCCCATCATCTTTACCTATCCATCCTTCTCTCTGGTCATTTATCTGCCTCCTTTCTCTCTCCTGTTCTCATCTACCTCTTCCCCCATCTGACAGGAACCAACTTGCTCCCTGTTATGACATTACACGGCATATCTCTTTTCTTGGCTTCTCAGGATAAACAGTGCCAATGGCCTGGAGATCAAGAGCACAGGGACCGAGTCCTCTCTGACAGTGGCCAATGTCACTGAAGAACACTATGGCAACTATACCTGCGTGGCTGTCAACAAGCTGGGAGTAACAAACGCCAGCCTATACCTTTACAGTAAGTATGGAAGCAGGGAGGGGAACACTACAAAGACCAGTCTGTGTCTTTGCTGTACAGTAAGTATGCTCCAGAGTGTGCTAGGACTGGAAAACATTAACCTGTCAAACTCAACTGAAACACCAGTTCTGACCAGGAATGGAGTTCAACTGAGACACATATGATTTCATAGCCAGAGCAGAACATATGCAAATGCATAAGCAAAGGTTGACAGTCAAACTCCCCATGACCCTTTCATTGGCGTTCCTTGCTGTGATTAGGTAGCTTAAATTATCTATCTGTCTGTCTGTCTGTCTGTGTGTAATTTTTAAGATGGTTTATTTTAACCGCCCCTTTAATAAGGAGGTAGAATGTGGGAGCCTGACGGTTCCCTCAAAGAGGTTGACCCTGTTGATCTTGGGAAAGAACCAAATGAATGAGTCTGAAAATAGGGAGGAAGTAAATGGCAAGAAGTCTATAAAATAGGAAAAGAGATGTTCCATGAAAGGCAAAGACCAAGATAGGGTAAAGAGGCATACTGCATTTTTCAGGGACTGCAGGAGCAGAAGTGAACAGTCAAACAAGTTCAAGGAAATATAAAAATGACTCAAGTTTACTAGAAGTTCTTGAAGGTACTTCTGTAGATTTCAACAGCAGCCAGCGCAGGCCCTAAAACCAGAAGCAGGCTTATCCCCAGACTCTAGATGCAAATCCCTGGCAGCTTAAAAGATCTGAGTTTTGTAGATCTTTTCCTAGGTATATCAGGGATCAAGCCTGATTTCAAATGACCATCCCTACCAGAACTTGGGAGTGTTTGAAATAGAGAGCTAGATCCAAATTTTCCACCTTGGTGGTTTCTTTTGCTGGCGATCATCATCAACAAATAGCAACAAAGAGCATATAGCTATTCAAATGGGGCCACATGCACAGAAATAACTGGGGGGGGGGGGG